AAAAATGTATTATATATTATAATTGTATATCCACTCACATTCATAAGTATTTTTATTAAGATAACGGCCTGCAGCGCTTTTTAATGCCCTCTCATAATTAATGACAGAATATTCACCTCATTCGCAAGGTAATAGACTAAAGGTGCTCGGGACTTTATTACTAGCCGGAACTGTGCAAGATGAAATATGACATCGGAAATTTCCTGGACCCATTAATAGCATTGTCTTCAGCGATTACTAACCTATTAATATTACTTGGTTTCATTTCTGTAGTAACAAAATTTACGAGTGAGATTATTTTTTATTTGCTATATCGTAAAGTGGCTGTATTGCAGTTATCATTACTCCATATCATTCCGTGGGTGTCGTAGGAGGCGACGGAGGGAAATTAAATAAAATATTTACAGGAACATCTTCATTGTAACAACTATATTAGAAAACTGCGGTTGCCAACGAAAGGCTATTATTAGACTTCTATAGCTATAATAGATGGATGGATGCTATATTGACTTTAAAAAACACTTTAAGATATACAATAAAATTAAAACATAAAATAGGTACAAAATTATTATTATTTATTATGATTGTACTGACCACGTAGCTGTTTTATATGTCTTCCTACTGAAATCGTATCATTTCTATTCAAAATCACATTTGGGCAACAACACAAATCATCAGTTTTCGGATCTGGATTGTGATTTCTAGATTTTTGCATTGGAAATTTAGTCTGATTTTATTCAGAATCATGACAGACATTCTGTCCCGTATATATACTTGTACATACACTCTAAAATAGCAATAAAAACAAAAAACAAAAACAAATAAAAGCTACAAGAGCAAACTAAATTTAAAAACAAAGTGCACACTGATTTCTAGCAACGAAAAGCCTAGCAATATTCTATTAGAACCACAAAAGCTCACAGCAATCCTTGTATAAATATTTACACCAGTCTAATTTACTGCCAAAAGATTTTTTTGTCGTAAAATGTTCAAGCGGAAATCTATTTCCTATGCCAAATGTAATATGTGTTTTATATTATCCAGTCCGAATTTCAGTTTATGACTTAGCACGTATTTTATGTTGGCACTTGAATAAATAATTGCTATATATACCTTTTGCCCCGTACAACCTCACCTGTGTTTACGGTTAATTGACGGTCGAAGCTCCGGCGTCAAAGTAATGGCAGATTAACCATCCCAAAAACGCTTAACTTTAACTTCATACACTGATGTTGGATAGCAGTATTATGAGCCTGATGATTTTGACTGTACACACCGATCCGACTGACTAAGCAGTAAAAAAATATTTTAAATGTAATATTAAACTATAAAACGGGAATTAAAAGACGGTGTAAAATGAAAACAGCAGATACTATGAGCTAAAAAACGCGATTGCCCAGCGTTGCGAGTGTGGGTATTACTTATTTTATGAATAATATACATTAAAATATCTGAAAAGATTTTGGTTGTGAAAATTGTCTTTCACTCTCATTTCCTCTGTTCCTTTGTATTATCTCTGGTAAGCGATATAATCGGTCGATAATCTCACAGATTCATGGATATTGCTACGAAAGTGGATGCCACGGAGTCAAGTTGAGAACTCTCATAAAATATGCAACGTATTGACTAGTGCGCAGTGCGGCACTGCGATACGGTCGCACGTCTGCGGTCTCCCCTGGTAAATTTAACGCGGCTGTGACTTTGTCAAAGTAAACAACGATGCGTGGTTCGGTTGAATTTCAGCTAGTTTCGAGCTTTATGTACATTTGTTTGTCTTTTGCTTTCGAGATTCAGAGTTACGGTTATATCGTTTGCATAACATTTGAATTAGAATTAATATCCGCTGGATTGCGTATAATAACAAACGTTTTATGGTCCGATACTCTACGTGGGCTTGAGGAAGTTTTCGTATCGCAAATTGGATCTAATGATATTGGAACAATAAATACATATTTTTGACTGCCTTATCGGAAGCAAGGCTGCTGATCTCGTCGGTCTCGGACCAAAAAAAAAAAAGATAGGTATTGAGTTTTTCTGTCAAGAAATTTTCAGAAGATATCCGTAGTCATTTAGTTGGCGGTATTTCACACCGTGCCTCGGAATGTATGTAAAGCCGCTGGCCATGCACCTGATCTCTCTCCGGTCATGTCGGTTTACCCATAAGAACGGAAAGTACTTCTACGTCCTATCAGACTATGAGAGTGAGGGAATAGACAATTTATCTGTACTTGCGCGTACACGAGGGCACTATAATCTTGATCTGCGCGGATGAATAGCCTCCGTGGAGGCTGGCCACCGTGACCGGAATTCGATCTGGAGGACAACATTATAATGCGGTATAGAAAGAGTATTTGAGGACATTATTGTTCATCTCATCTGATTGGGATTAATAAAAATATATGATAAATATACATTAAATATACTAACATCAATAAGTAAATAATAAATAAATAAATATATAAATAAACCAACGAACCGTTTGTGGGAAAACTGTATGCTAAGGTACTAATTGAAAGGGTCATGAAAGAAACTGATGGAAAAATTTGGGATGTGCAAGCGGGATTTAAAAAGGGAATGGATTGTACAGATCAAGTCTTTTCCATGCGCATGATCGCGGAGAAGTTTTTGGCCAAAAACCAAAAAGTTTTTTATGCGTTCATGGACTTGGAAAAGGCCTATGATAGAGTGTATGTGTGAAAATTTGAAAGTTGAAGAATGCGGATTAAGAATGGGTGATTTAACCGTCAAATGCCTATTGCACGCCGATAATCAAGTTATTCTTACATCGTGGGCGGCCGATTTGCAAATGATGGTTACATTAATGAACAGATCATTAAAAGAAAGGGGTATGAAAGTGAACGCAAGTAAGACGAAAGTTATTGTTTTTAAAAGAGAAGAAAGTAAAACGATATGTGAAATAAGAATATAGGGGAGTTGATCGAGCAATTAGATGAGTTTGTATATTTGGGTTGCGTATTTAGCAGGGATCAGAGATATGATAAGGATATAGAACGACGAGTAAACGCAGGAAATAGAGTAAATGGGGCCCTACACTCTATTGTGAAGAGTTAGAATGTGTCAAAAAGGTACTTATGGCAATTCACAATGCTGTGTTGGTCCCTACTTAACGTATGGTAGCGAAAGTTGGGTGTGGAAGAAGAAGCAAGAGAGTAAAATAAACGCAGTAGAAATGTGGTCGTTAAGGACTATGTTAGGGCTGAATCTGAATGACAGGGTGATAAATTGTGTGATACGAGAAGAGTGTGGTTTGCATGATGATGTTGTGACTAGGATTAAGAAAGAATTGCTTCGGTGGTTTGGTCATGTGGAAAGAATGAATGAGGTAAGAATGACAAAGAAAATTTATGTTGCAGAAGTGAATGGCAGAGTCGGAAAGGGACATAATAGACGAAAATTTATCGACCAAATTAGCGATTTATTGAAAACGGGCTAAATTAGGAGTACCCTTAACCGACGAGCATGTATGCGTAGGTATATGGATGTGAAGGAGGCGAGAGAGGTATATCAGGATCATGCCAAATGGAAGTCTGTAGTCTCTGCCTACCCCTCTGGGTAACAGGCGTGAGTGTTTATGTAAAATATGTTATGTATGTATAAACCAACGAGATGGAAGTCCTCGGCAGGGGTATCAAATGGTTAGGGCTAAAAGGGGTAAAGGGAAAGGGAAAGAAACGAGTGGATGGACCATCACGAACTCCCAGTTTCCTCAAGTGACCCGAGAGACTGACCGGGATTAGCCCGATCTAAAACAGAAATGACCAGAGGAACTATTTCGGTCGGCAGACCACCCCACATGTCGATCACCTCATGAGCAGGTCCAGATTTTTGTTCGCTTATCTGTTTTGGCTTTGAAGAGGTTCTCTTCATACGGAATGGTAATGTCGACCAAAAATATCCTTGAATTTATTATTGTTAGTATTACATATTTTTACAACACCGTATTTTTATGTCTGCTGCTGCTCATTATATCACCACAGATTGCTAATAACTTACCTCGCATCGGTCTGTGAGAGTGATCCACCTGTATCCATCGACTCCTACGTTGCATAAAATCATCTTTCTTTTAGTAGAGTTACGCTTGCAAATACGCAGCTGTGTCTCGAGAAAATTTCTTCCACAGCTACTGTCAAATCTTCCAGTTGAACTGAATATCTTGTAGGAACTTCAGTTGTCGATATTACGATTATATACCCTTTATACATCTTCTCCTTCTTCACCAGCTCGTAGACCATTTCTGTACATTTACTTCTTCAGCTATAGGGTTAATCGTCACGATTAGCAAGTGGGTAATGTGAGACGTTTCGCACCTTAGATGCTTAATTAACTTAAAATAAATATAATGAGCAAAAATTAAAAAGCGCCTCCCAATTTTTTCAATTTCCTGCTTATCGCATATTACAGTAATGATCCTGAAGTGAATCCTACCTAAGCGAAGCCAAACGGGTTTAAAAATTCACCAGATATTATTGACTACAGTGTCCCACGTGGATCTACGAGTAGCTTCAAGCAAAATTGTGTATTACTTCTTAAGTTTAATATGAAGTTAGTCACCTGAAATAATAAATGTTAATTACAAACAATCTTACAGACTCAAGCACAAATGCTGAATTGCCAGTACGTTGTTTTAAAAATTTTAATCCAGAGATGCAATATTTTGAGATCAAACGATTTATACCATGGTTAGATTTCATTATTACGTTATTACGTTATTGACAAACCTCAGATCCGAATGAGTTTAGCTTAATCGTTTTTTAATGCTCACAGAGTGGAAGAATATTGTATATTTTAATTTATCAGTGATAGTCTTGTCCGAACATCACAATTTAGGAATTTTTAAGTCAAGGAGCTATTTTCTAAATCTATGATCCTCTCACCACTAAGTACGAGTATCAGGTGACATTCTGATCAAACATGGTTTCCAACCTACTTCAAAGCCAAAAATGGAATAAAACATATAAAAATAAATACTTAACTATGTTATGAAACTATTAATGGTAAGATTATTTACATCTGCCGTTAAAAACATTACTTGCAAAACATAGGGTATAAAGAGCTCGTGTAATTACAGGCTGCGGGTATTACATTTTATTTTTAAGTCACAACTCATTTATAGATTATTTCTTTGAAGTGGGCTACAGGTTTTCATAGACAGCAGTAGCCAATTGCTATCAGGTGGACTTTAAGTTGGTTTATCAATAATATGAAAGAACGGAAAGTTGAAGAAGTGATATAAAGTGTGTAAATAGTAATTATATTTGAACACAAAATCAATAACACAGTACAAAATGGGATAGCGTATTATGTGGTTGGAATTCAATTTCCGATAGAGTTAGAACCAAATTTATATTGGAGGTTAGCTCATTCCTCCTGAATATCCTAAATTGGAACTAATATTAGTGAACATTGTTAATTGTGTGTTTATTTAAGTAGAGGTTATATAAGAAGGCTTACGTAGATGTATTTCCATTATATGAAATGAAATCATAAAGTTTCAAAATAAAATCGATCATTAAGGAGTTTCGCATTATAGCTCATCTTATAATATACTTCATTTTTTTTAATATGAAAAGGAAGTGAGGGTCTACACAAATAAAAAAGTATCTCTTTGTAATGTGAAAATATTAGCTTTTTACTAAATGCGTAGAAAATTATGTGGTGCCTTTAACAAAAAAAAAAAAAAAACAATTTTTAAAGTTTGTGTCTGTCGGTTAGTTCCGGTTAATCTCCAAAACGGCTGGAATGATTATGACGAAACTTTTACTAGAAGATAGCTGATATTATGTGGAGCAAAGTAGCATATACTTTCATTTTAGAACAAAAAACTAAACTCATAAAATTCAATCCTTGCGGGCAAAGTCGCGGGAAACAGCTAGTCAAACATAAAGTCCGCTAAATACTGGCCACTTGCATCTGCAATCCACATCACATTAAGTAGGTTAAAGATACGTTGTCACCTCTGAGGACTAATTTGGATTGCTTTACAAACTGTCACTATACAAGCTCTCTATACCGTTCATACGGTACCACAGCAGTGCAAGCACTGTAATTTAGTATGAAAGCTCAGAATTGAGCTGTCACAACTATTGAAGCGTAAAGTCAGTCAGTATAGTATACTAGTCCCATCTCTGTGCTAGGTCTTCTTTCATTTCTGAGGGGAATATGGAGCATATTTTGACGGACTTTTCATGATTTCGAAGTATTTATTCCTTACATATGCAGGTTTTCTCATGTTTTTAAGCTATTGCATATCTTCTATCGCGGGCCTTGAGCGCGGGGACCGAATCCAGAAATTCCGTAACGAAAAAAAACCTCACGCTCCCCAATCCGACGGGCGCGGAGGTGTGGCGTTGAAAGCCGTGCATCTTCTAACGTCGTTTCAGTTCGACTTCGCCGCAGACTTCGGCACTCGCAGACTTGGCACCTGCAGACTTCGGCACGGTGTTTGTGTGCGTGGGACTAGACGCTAATACGTGTACACTAGCTGCTAACTCAATGATAAAAATTCCTGAATAACCTACATGTATTGTAAGATATTAAAAATATTTTAAACAATATTAACTTCTCATTTATTCAATAAGAGAAAAAAAATTGTTTTCTTATCGGTCACCACGCTCAAAAAGTGTAACTTGATTTAATATCAAAGACTTAACTGCATAAATAAAATAAATAAATAATTATAATTGCATAAGTTGATAAAAAATGCTATGCAATAGCTTTACCGCGGCAGTCACCGAGTGCCACACGTATTTTTATCACAGTGTTGGTGATAAATCGGAAGTTATAACAGATATTAATAAATATAATGTACGTGAGAGTAATATGGTTACCGTAAGCTTTACCGCCCTATAAAGCCAAATCTTGGAGAAGGAGAGAGACAAAAACTCCAAGTCGTGTACTATAACTAATATCTTAAGAAAAAAATCGCAAATACGCTTTCGCAATAGTATGAAACACTTCGAAAAATCTACTTAAAAAAATCTAACGACACTATATTAAACTAAAACTTAAACGACTAAAATATTTACTATAATGTAAACTGTAAAAATGGCGTGGATAAAGTATCGACATTTTGGGCCTATATAATTTGATTGACCGATGAAGAGCTATCGTATCACAAATCCGTATATGCTAACAAGGCTGTAGTTTTTGAGTTATAAGAAAATGACCATATTAACCGGATCACCATGTTACCCTCACGTACTATATTAGTGCCGGTTGGGGATCGATCCTGGGATATTCAAGTACTGTAAAATTTACGATAAGCACTTTGTTAAAACGAACTTAAGGCATATAAGTTAATATGTATTTCCTTATTACAGGTTGCGTGGATCCATATCGACCGCCAGATGATCCTCACTATACATCGTCATGTCATAACGCGGTTGGCAAGATTCAGCGTATCTCACGACAATGCCATGACTTGGCTTCTTCACGTCAGTCAAGTACAGCAAGAAGATCGGGGATACTACATGTGTCAAGTCAACACCAACCCAATGATAAGTCAAGTGGGATATCTCCAAGTTGTGGGTAAGTTGTATTAATTAAAATTATATTTTAAAATTTGATTTGACAATTGGAAGTAACAAAAGTTTGATATCTCCAAGCAAGCACACTGTCCACCTGGTGATTATGAGTTCTGAAGTGAAACTTTTTTATCGACGTAGTGGAGAATTAGTACGGTATTAAAAATTAAAAACGTCACATTTTCTTGTAACGGGGGCAGCATGAGTGTACTATTATTTAACTTACTTAAGTAAAATATAAAATAATAGAAAAATTGTTTCACTTCTATCTTGTGTTCACAATTAAACGCACAATTGTTTAATCAACAGTTTTACATATCCAATGTCGTTGTCCCACCTACGTCATGGTAATGAAAATGACATACCTCTTTATGTTTTTGTCATATATTTTAGGGTTAATCGTAGTTTCCGAAGATATATTGAGTACGAGTATTTATGACTCAAAATTAACTATTCAAGCATATCGACCACTAAGAGATCGTCACACAATGTATCTGTTTACATTACTACTGTAAACGAATACATGGTGTTTTCAGTATAAAGTTTTCTCGTACAAATAACGAGATTAACTTAGAAGTTGTTTGTTATACCGTGCATAGATTATTGGAGTTTATCGTCTCAGTTCTCTCATGTAGCTTTGCTATTTCATATATATGTGTTTTGCTACCGTACCATGTAATAAAAATATAAAGAAAAAATCTGTATAGGATATTACAACGTATATGAATGTCTCATATAGAAAATTTTCGTTCATATTGTAACTTAAGCTGTGTACGTAGTAGTATGACCTATAATAAATACTGCAGTATGTTGCCGGGGTAGTGGAATCCATCACCATTTTGTCCCATGGGGAGATTACTCTGGAATATGCCACAAAGATCTAATGATAGCGCTTGGCAAGTTTTCTCTACAATGACAAAGGCCAGCAGTGGAATTTTACAGGTTCATGAAGAAGAAAATATGTTTTGGTCGCTTATTAGTACGCAACTATTGAAATTTAAGTTCATTATCAAAGTTATTTAATGCCTAGCTAACAACTTAACCATAAATAACCCATAGTAGTTGTTTTATTCAAGCGTCCCATCCCCTCCCAGCCTTTCACAAGTCTGGACAAGCAGGACAAGGGCCTCCAAGGAATATCGTGGTCGTCCGATGTTTGGGAACAAGATTTTTGTACAGACTACGAACTTTGTTATTGGGAATAGATTTAAATAAAGAGGTTAAGTCAATACGATAGGTGTCAGTTTTAAATTTATCAAAATTTATCAAAATTCATTCTAGAGAAATTACGAATGTATAGTACGACCGGACTCATTAAGAAGAAACTATTTTATATGATATAAACAAGGTTATATCGCGAAAAAGCAGGGCCGATAGTTGTCCGTGCTTAATTTCATTATCGGGAGAAGCCGTGATAATACGATTAATCCATGAGTCATCAGTGTCAATGTTGTGGTGAGGTGCCTCTAAGGGGAGAATGTGGAGATTGACTGACTCTATGACCGACTGGAATTTTTGAGAACGAGAATATTTTCTCAACAAATCAGTACTGAGAGACATTATTGCGCAGTGCATGAACTCAAATAAAGTGTTAACGAAATCGCTTTCAAGAGCGTTGAAAAAATGAACAGCAGGTGGACAGTATTCCAAGAATTGCATTTAAACCTTATTTCTGTTTCTGAAAATTGATTTAAAAATATCAATTTTTAGAAGCAGAAACTTCAATGAGGCCAGAATACGGAGATAGATAAGCTAAAATTATTTTATAAGGAATATTTGCTCTAAGGTATAAAGCAACAACACCTCCTCCTTTTTCAGTCCCGTCACTACGCACAAGAACAAAATAATTTACAAGACACAAGCTTGACATTAATGATGGCTTAAGCCTTTATGATACTAAGATTGCTGGAACACAATCTATAGAAAACACTTCTTCAAAATAAGAAAAATGACTCGGAATGCTCTGAGTATTGACATAACATATTGTATTGAAACGAAGTTTTTACAAGAAGTATATAAATTGATAAGCTCATCACGGAGGGAGGGTATGTTATCACTATTTTTGCAAAACTCGAACTAGATACGAGTATGTGAACCATGAACAGAATAAAAAGATTCATCATCCGACATATCTAGCATTAATTATAAACATATAATAATATATTTATATAAATAAATAAATGTATAATAATCTGTTATGAACTTTTAAACAATATAGAATATAAAATACTTAGACTAACTACAAAATGTGACTCAATACACATTATGCTACATCACCCTACAATTGACTAATTGCAATGAATAATTCACCTTATTTACAATTATAATAATAATAAAAAACTTATCAACACTAAACAACTAGATCAAAGCATAACAAGACAACTAAAGTTTAGTCTTGGTTAATCAATAAGTTAGTCACTTAACTAACAAGATATAATAACGAAATTATTACTGCGCAGTGACAGACGGGGAATTAGGCTGGGGCCATTTAGTAAGAAGGAAATCAAAATCTTCCTCAGTGAAAACTTTTATGCGGCTACTATCAGGAAGCCTAACGTTTACGGTTCCATTAATAGTCGACACATTCTTCGTGCTGAAATGCCTGAGAGCCTTCTAATTATAGCAAAGTATAAATTTCAAATATATACTCTGACGCATTTTAGCGAGAAACTTTGTTACTGTGTATGGTTTATTCTTTAATTTTGTCTTAGATCTTCAGACTTTCGATTAATTATCATAATTTTGGAAACGAACAAGTACAGCTCCTATCCGATCACTGCCAGGAGCTCCCAACCGATGACGGCGCTTTAATGAAGAGTTGCTCATATGTAAAATACCCGTTTTATTATGAACAAGTACCTCATGTTCAATATTTAATCCAGGCTCCTCAGAAATCCCATAAAAAATTAGTACCTTCCGCTTTTGTCGCATATATATTTAATCAACTGCATTAGTACCCCATCGAAATTGTTGCTGCAGAAACTATGTTGCTCACTAGGTCTTTAAAGGCATAAAATTCCTCACTTAGCTGGACCAAAGTAAAGCAGCTTTCAAGCGTTTCTCAAACTCTGACATCTTTTGCATCCCATTAACTTCATGTTCCTTCTATATTAGATCAACCTTAGTGACATTTGCCATCATGTGTTAATTACTTTAAATGTTTTATAATATAGTTATTCACTTGTAAGCTAGATGGAGCTGTAGCGTGATGCAGATAAGTTCTCAAATCTTCTTTGAACACAACATGTTTATAATAATAATTAAAACAAAAATTTTTTAAGTCACTGATTTGAATATAATTAAAATAAAATCAAATTTTAAACTCTTTTGAATTGAATAAATAAAACGAAGCTATTAAATCAACCTTGACTTTTTCACACCTACCAACCAAAAAAAAAGTTATATTATGATATATTGTAAAGTTGTATTTGGCTATATTATTGTATTTGGCTGTATGATCTTAGCTTTGATGTGTGGAAACGGCATATGAGAATCCATAAGTAAATATTATTAGCCTTTGAACGAGAAAAGAACCAGACCTCTTATAACTTATAACCAGCAGCGACCAACATTCGCGGATACGGTTCCCGTAAGAACTTTACCGCACGTACATCCTACAGACCGAAAGTCATTACAGCAAATGGCACAAATATTTAAAAAAAAAAATCAATAAGGAATCTCAATAACTCCACAGTATTCTCTGCGCTATTTACAGGGTTAAAAGTTTTAATTACTCGCCTTTGATATTTCAAAGATTTTAATAATTTACTTTTATTTGTACTCCCTTAATAGCTTTTGTCACGTTGAAGGAATTTTCGTAAGTTATTGAACCGCTAATTTCTTATTTAACACAAATGAAATTTAGATAAATAAGCAATTAAAATGGAATATATAGCAATTAAATGAAATAAATTATACAATTCATGGTGACGATGGCTCCTTGGTGCAGTGGTTTAGTATTGAATCACAGCGCTGTAGGGCATGGTTTTGAATTCTGCAAGAAACAAATATTTGTATGGCTTATAAATAATTATTGTGGGTCTAGATGTTTGCCCTTATGCAATTTATGTATGTAAACTGAGTTCTTTATACAGGAGAAAATCTTGGTAGTAACGTTTTTATAAAAAGAAAAAAAGACCTTATTAGAATCTATGACCTACGCGTGCTCGATTTAAATAACTAGCTGGTAACTGGGTCGTCGTCCCACCAAAACACAATAGCTCGAATCATCACGTGGCAACTTAATGTAATTACGTTAGCAAGTAACATTGGACTCAGTGGAGAAACGTCCTAAGAGGCTTGTTGTTAACTTTGATTTGGTTGAAAACAATCTTGTCAGCCTCGATTACTAGTGTAGATAGCCAGCCTCTCGGTATTCTGTAGGACGCATTTTAATTTTGCACAGGAATTACTCGCTTTAATACTTAACACCATTTTCCACTATCACACAACCAGGCTGTCAACGAGTCTTAACCCATTTGTGATGTTCCATGAATCCGAACTGACCAGTTTGCTTCGTCTTTCGTAATGCGTACAGTGAATAATTTGCCGGCGTCTTTCTGTACGAACGCAATCTGAGTGTCTTAAAGACAAGAGTGAATAGGCATTTGTTACGCTGTTATGATAAGACAGTGCGATTTATTATCTACTGCTTTATCACCACTTAACAGGTGTGGTCGTGGTCAAATACTGGCTTGGAATATGAAAGTTGTATGAAAGCATAATGATGCTCATATCATTTGTTCGTATATATTTTGTGAATATTTTTATTTGTTTTTAACTCCTGAAGTTACATCATTTGTTCGTCTCCGTTTACGTTTTATTAATAGTTTTATTTGTTTTTAACTACCGAAATTTTAAGTGCTCTGCAACGTGTGCATCATCACTTACCACTAAATAAAATTGTAGTTCCCAAGCAATTGTGTTCCAATATGTACCAACTCATTTATTTTTGAAGACGCAGACGAATTGTTGATTTTCGTGCCTGATCCTTTTGTAATAGTCCCCATGTATCTGACGCTACATCCTTCTCCTATCTTGTAAATATTACATGAACGAGTTTAGGATGACTAAGCATCTTCTATCTGAGAGGTTATTAGTATATATATGATATACTGTTACCGTTATAGCCTATCAAAGTCCACTGCTGAACATAGGTCTCTCCCATAGGTTGCCTCATAAGGTGGATATTTTTCTCGGTTGTCATGTTTGACAAACGCGTTTGCAACTGCAGTTTTTATTTTTATTTTAGGTCGTTATGAGGAAGACGCTGCTGCTCATCTCGTGGTGTTTTTGCCTCTGCTGCCTCTTACGACACCCACGGGATGATATGGGATAGTGGATATTCTTACACCGCCACTACATGATGTAGTCAATCACAGAATAACAATGTGTTAAGAAATATTCGTAAAAAGACTGTGAGCTGAGACAAACTATTTTGTAATTCTCACAACTTTCTGACGCGGCAGTTTCTAGGTGTCTTACTTCAACTGTTTGGGCGTACTGGGCCCCTTAGCACCGATTTGGGATCGCACTTAGTATTTTATACGACCGCAGTTCTACACAAACTTTTAAGTGGAAATAAAACGAAGCTTTTTTCGTGTTGCCTTTGAACCTTCGCACGTTTTTATTTCCATTTGATTGCTCTTAGAGTCGAGTGGCGGACCTTAGGTTAGAATTTTCTATTCCGCGTTTTATAGACCGAATTTGTTCATTTTTTGCACTAAAACTGTATGCTATTATTTTTATGTTCAGAGAAATAAATCATGCAACCTAATATTATCGAGTCATAATGCTCTTACATAGGTGTAAGAGCAGTATGACATCAGTTACCATGATCATTATAGCCCTTTACTTAACATGGGACACGCCCAAAGAATACCACAAAACACCATCCGCAGCCATCAGCTTCGCCACTTCTTGCAATTATTACTAAAGCCTCTTTTTTCTTTCTCCTTCCTCTCTTCTTTCCGTTAATGAAAACTCAGCACAACTCAAGAACCTTTTTTTAACTACTCTAATCCAGTGTTTGAATTCTACCCCATCTGATAGTGAGAAACCGAATATAGTAAAACGTACTGATTTAGCTTAAGAAAACACTCATATTGTAATCGGATGAAGAGACGGATGCTGCCAAATAAATCCACTCCTTTGTTGTACGCAAGACGAATGATGAAACAAACCATCGAGTACGTGTATCGACCACGAAGGAGTGGAGACTGGTCGAACGTCTCGCGTTTTCTCTATGTGTTGTCGATCCTTTCAACTATATGATGTTATAACACTAGCACTTTCGTTTTAAAGGAGACTAGGGTACTCATACCCATTCAGTTTTCTTTAAATACTGAACATGTAGCCTGTTATTGTAGCATCAATATTCGTAGATTTTCTTAAGGAAATATATTCTTCGAAAAAAAAAAAGAAATCGTACCGCATTAAATAAAACTATTTATACGGATTTTATCGCGTTTAATTATTTAAATCATTAAGAATTATTTTTCATTCCCAACGTTTCAGGTGCTTTTCAGCACCCATGGTCACGGGGTGGACTGAATTTGACGTCCCAATGTGATAAACCGGCTACTTTCACTTATTGAATATTAAATTATGTTCTGATCAACGCAGAACGAGCTTACGATACCTTGCAGTCTTAGAGTGGTCTGCTCGGGTTTGGATTTAAATTTGTTCGATTCGGGACGATCTTGAACATGTTCACAGACTGCAGACTTCCATAACGATCTTAAACGTATTCACAGTCTGTATACATGTTCAAGATCGTCCCCACTAATACATCAGATTTGATAAACCACAAATCCTCGCAAAAGAACACCGGATCCTACCAAAGATGATATGCGAGGCTATTGAAATTAAAAAAAATTATTATTTCAATAGAGAACATAGATGGGTGCTGCCGTCTGCCTGAGATCCTATAATTAACAAAATTTTAATCTAACCCGAGCAGACCACTGCAAGACTTTAAGATACTCTAAGCTCGTTTTGCGTAGGTTGGACCAAAAATTAATATTCAAAAACTGAAGATAATTGAGCTATGACACTGGGACGTCAAATATATTAGTCCACCCCCCCCCCCCGTGATCATGAGTGCTTTAAAGCTCCCGAAACGTCAAGAATATAAATAAGTTGATTAAACGCGATAAACTCCATATAAATAATCTTATTTCATGTGTAATGTTCATGTAAATATAAATGCCATCAAAAACATAACTTGTAAAAAAAAACAAGTCTCGCAACTCAGTTCTTCTACCATAAAAAGTTGTGAGATCCATGTAATATCAAGTCGGTTAATTTATTCAGTCCCTACTTAAGGATCCTTCTGTTTTAAGTTATTACGTAATTAGCTAACCTAACTACATTTTATAGTGACCATATCAATGTTAAAAATCTTTTATGTTTTAAATATATAGATTGACTTGGCCATCGCATGAAAATACAATGTATCTCACAAGTAATACATATCATATTAAATTAGATCGCTTAGTGCGATTGCCAAGTCAATCTATATATTTAAAACATAAACGATTTTTAACATTGATATGGTCACTATAAAATGTAGTTAGGTTAGCTAATTACATAATAACTTAAAACAGAAGGACCCTTAAGTAGGGACTGAATAAATTAACCGACTTGGTATTACATGGATCTCACAACTTTTTATGGTAAAAGAACTGAGTTGCGAGACTTGGTTTTTTTACAAGTTATGTTTTTGATGGCATCTCACTTCTTTTTGTACATAAGATAGTCCTACTTTTTTACCTTTCAGGTCCCTTCTAGTTCTTAAATACCAACAACGTACCTATCTACAACTATTAAACATATACAAGTTCACCGATTCATTGACTGCAAACGTAACTTTGTAATTCTATACGTTTATATGATATTACAAAGTTATTTATGCAGTTATTTTATGTATAAAACTGGACCAAAATTAAAAAATATTTTAGTTTTTCTTTAATTTATATACTAAACCCTAATTGCATTCTAAATTTGAAGCTTCTATGTCTGCTAGAAGTGCCTTAGAGTTTTAACCAGACAAAAGCTCAAAATACTCTTAAATTCAAAAAGGAATGAACCATTCATGTATATTTCAATTTAATGAAAATAAATACATCTGCACTTCTAAGAATAGTCTGCTAGAAGTGCCTTAGAGTTTTGATGATCGGTCAGTAAGTGAGTGACAAAAGTAAGAAACTTTGACTAACTCTTAAAATACTGCTTCAAATTCAATGAAATGTATTGAAATTGAACCAATTTCGTGGTATATTTCAATTTAATTGAAATATACGATGTTTATACAAAACCGACTTGGTAACTGAAAATTCAAGCTTTTAGTTTTACCCACTACGAAGTTATAGGAAGTCGAAAATGGCCTGAATTGCTTCGAGGAAAAGTATAGTACGGCCGTGCCGCTTTTTTGCTCGACTTGGCGACAGAAAAACAGTAATAGTACCACACTTATATTATTTATCTATGTGTATTGATGAACATAGGTCTTCCCCATAGAATTACTTATACGGAAAATTTTGCCATAGTTTCTAAGCTTGTTAGGCAGCAGTTTTTTTTTATTATTTTGTGTTGTTATAAAGAAAACGTTGTCCATCTCGTGTTTCAAGCTGCCTCTGTTGCGTCTCACTTGAACTATTTATTTTTACTCATATATTTTTTCAGTGCCTCCGAATATACTCGATGATGAGAGTACCCAGTCAGCAGTTGCAGTCAGGGAGAATCAAAACATAAGTCTTGTGTGCAAAGCTGATGGATTCCCAACACCTAAGATCATGTGGCGTCGTGAAGACGGACAACCGATATCTGTAGAAAGAAGAAAGAAAGGTACATTTAGAAATAATATAATATAGCATTATTTACGAATATATTCTAAAATGAATTGTAAAATATATCAAAACCGAAATAGAACAAAATATAAACAGTGCGAATGAACTTTGTACAACATTCTACTATTTCTTTTGACTCAAAGTTCGACTGTCTAGACTCATTAAATAGTTCCTGGGTTTAATCTCTTGCTAAAGTGAATCGTAAATGACTGATTTGAGGAGATATCGCTAAATATTAAACATTGTTAATAGATCGTTTTAAGTTTTATTTAGAAATTCAAATAATAGATATGAGTATACTGGTTAAATATATTATTTTAATACATAGCACGTCATTTACATAGACGTAAAAAATATGGAACAGAGAAATAATTGAACATCGTGTTACTAAGAAACATAAAACGAAACAAGTTTTATTATTTTATGTCTTTAACATTAATATTGCATCTTGTAAAGCAAATATGGAAGTTTGAAGACTTCACTCATTAAAGTACAAGAGTAGATTCTGCCTGTATATTAAGTATTATTTACACATAATGTATGATATTAATATCTTTACGTAACAATCAAATATATAAAAAAATATTTATCGCCATTCATTCGGTTTATTTTCAAAAATTCTGATCACTTCAGAATTATTTAGTCTAGGATTTTTTTAAAAATAGAATCAGTAAAGTTACAGGCTGTGAGGAATTCTATCTTAGTCCTCGCGGGTGACAACGCATCTGCATTTTTGTTCGTAATCGAGGATAGATGTAGATGTCTATGGGGCACAGCAACCATCAGGCGGACTGTGTGCCCGTTTGTCACCCTATCCTATAAAGAAAAGTTTTATTGTTTTATATTTTGATTTGAATCCACACTCAGTTCTTAAGCTTATAAAGTACATAAAGTAGCACATAAATCTACTGACAAATAACAAATAATCCTTTCTGTTTCAACCTATCAAAATTATCACTGAAAGCTCACTCACTGAAAGATTACCTCTTATTTCCCATATTTTTCATAGTTTCTACATTTGGCATTGGCTACCACAGTTTTTTTTATTATATAGCTGTTATTTATAAGGTTGGCTGGTTTTTCCCTCTGTCGCTTCCCATCTCTCTATCACGATATCCACTGGATAGTATGGCTTAGTAGATATTCTTAAACCGCCACGGCCACTACACGGTTAATATTATAACAAATAACATCTTATGATAAAGTGAAAAAACTAAAAGATAAAACGTTGTATATAAAATGATAGATGTCGTAGAATAGTAGATATAAGGATACAATATAGATGTAACAGGTGACTATTGAACGTATAGAGGCCCTCGTGGGTGTCATAAAAGGACAGAGGAAAACAAGCCAGAAAACAGGCAGCTGCGTCTTTCTAATAGTAACTAAAAATAAAAACCTGTGGTTACCAACCCGAGATAAAGTTTTATTTCGCAGCAAGATCGCCACAGGCGGAACTTTAGTGTTGTCAGTCAGTCAGTTAGTACCGTGTAGTGGCCGTGTAAGATTATCCACTACTTCATATCTTCTTGTGCGTGTCGTAAGAGGTAACAGAGGGAAAATGAGCCTGGTATTGGGCAGCAGCATCTTCCTGATAACAGCTGAATTTATAAGAAACTGCGGTTGCCAGTCAGCTTATTAAGATATGCAGCAATGAAAAATATTCCCCCTATAGGACAATCTACGGGGGCGACCTGTTTTCAGCTGTGTATATTTGATAGGCAATATAAGTAATGGTTATGGTAAACAGTTAATACGCTCACTTTAAATTACTCGCTGATATTGCAGTACTAAAACTAGCGATATTATGGTACCGAGGTGTTCGCAGAACTTGCACGGGACAGTACTAAAATTTTCCTTAGGAAAAAACTCCATTTAAAGATAATTATTGTACGAGAAGAGCTGAGTTTTGCCGGCAAATTAAGCCGTTTGAGCACGTATTCGACGTGTTCGACAAAAGGACCGAAAAATTGAGTTTAATTTTAAGAGTGGTTTCCTTGTACAGTTGAAAATTAACGTGTGGTTTGAAGAGGCACTTGGCGCTAATTGTGTGTGACCCTCCGTCGCGCCAGACTCCCGGACGTGTCATTTCCATCTGCTATGATTATTTGTAAAGGACGTCCAATGTCGATGTTTTAATTACGTGCCGAGTAGAAAACTGTTCTCGTTTTCAATTCAGACCATGTTGAGTCCTTTGTTTGGATTAATACGACGCCGAACCGCTTTTTATTTACGGCTTTAATGGGTGAGGACGCGCCTTGCTTCCAAAGTGTTACGGTTGAAAGAGAAAGGATTTAGGATAAGGGAGTACGTTTGTATGTTTATGGGCTACTTTATGTTCAATTTCAACCCTAATTCACCTATGTTTTCAGAGATTTGTGCCTTGTTAAACCTGTTTTACAAGTTTCAAATGAAATATACAATTTCGTCGTAGATCCATGTTGCAGCTGTATTATGGTTGTAGCAGGAATGGTTCGACATAACCGGGGATGGGCTACGCTTTCACAAAATGCCAGCGTAAAAAAGAAGCTCAAGGCTACTGTGTTTTATATAAAATGTAGAGAAAAAGAGAAAACCAGATACGAGGCATTCCATCTTAGTCCTCAGGGGTCACAACGCATTGACATTGTATTTTAAATCGACGACAGATGTACAATCTACATGTCTATCGGCCACAGCATCTACTTACACCACATCAGAAGCAAGAATGTGCGCTCGTTTGTAACCTATTTATCCCTTCAAGCGCCATAAATATCCCATGCAGTCGCATACGCCCCGCAAATCCCGAGCAGTCGCAGGCGACCGCACCCACCCACAGCACTTAAAACTATCCAAACTCATATTTAGAGACTACTTTTATATGAAGAAGTTTAACATTACAAAATCTATGCAAAATTTTCTATCTTGTGGTTTAAACAAAAGTTGGGTTTTACTTCATTACAAAAATATTTTATTAAATTTTCATAACAAAAAAAAAACATACCAAGCGAATGTCGGTAGCGTGAAAGTCACAATTATTGTAATATATATTACTCGAAATTATTTACGTAAAAAATAAATTATATTCACACAAAAACTTTCATTACAATTTTACAATAAAACACTATACAAAAACACTAATAAAACACTAGAAAAATCCAAAAATCAACACAATAACATTTACGCGAAAATGACAAACGAAATAAAGGTAGATTATAAATAAATATTCATAGGATAACAGTTTTTTTATTCCATAGAGGATAGAGTATTTTATATTAATTATATAACTTCTTCACAGAAAAGTAGTCTCTATATATAAGTTTTTATAGGTTAAAGTGCTGCTGGTGCGACTTCATGAGGCCGCTAGGGATTTGACGGAATATGGCCGCGGTCTCATGTGACCGCTAACGGATTGAGAGGGTAAATAAATTTAAATTATATTACATAAATATATTAGTTGGTATGTACAAATAGGTGATGATAATTAGCATTAACTGCCTGTGCAATTTAAGGTTGTGTTTCGTGAATGTACTCTCCTTTATAGGTTGTCAGGGCTTAAACAGCAGAATAAAATAGAATAAAAAGTGATTGAACGGAACAGAATGCAATGAAATTAAATAGAATTGATAGAATAAAACAGAATAGAATATTGTATTCAGTAAAGAATATTGTATTTGGTAAAGAATATTGTATTCAATAAATAATATTGTATTCGGTAAAACATATTGTATTTAGTAAAGAATATTACGTAGAATCTTTCTGCCAAAAAGACCTTCTGGATAGGTACCCCTCTTATTTAAGTCTGCCAACAAGCATTCGTACATCCACAACAATCGTACAGATGAAAGATTTTTTTATAAAATTAAGATGACAAACGGGCAAGATTAAGAACCAAAATGTAGATGCATTGTCATCCCCATAGAAAACAGACTTATTCCGTGTTCTGTGGTCATCCCTGAGGACTAATATCGAATGCCTCTATTCCAGTAAAACCGGTCTCCGTTCGGACTTCTGTACAGTTTTCCGAAGGGTATTCCGTCTGTGAAGCTTGTTACAAGCAGTTGTGTACTTCGCTGTTCCATTATTTGCAATATTTTTAACGTTTGAATTTCGAAACTATTGCAATATCTATAAGTAACAATTTTGTGTGACTAGTGCACCAAGTGGTTTAAATCTTGTTTGACTGTCTCACTTACGTCGTGACTAAGTGTCATATAACAAAAAGGATCGCTCAACATATTCGTAGCTTGATGTGAAAAGGATGACTATATGATGGCGAATATGCAGCGAACTCCCCCGAATCAATTTAAGTTGTGTTCATCTAATCCGGACTTTTCAACCGCTTTTACTTCAACTGATAATAATATCTTTGTGAATATCCGTAAACGCAAACAACCTGAACCTGACGAGTTGAACTCAATTATGGATACGTTATAGTTGAAAATAGCTGACCAAATGGAATCTTTTAAAGTTAGCATTGAGGCGGTAGTCACAGACTCTGTTAAAAATGCCATAAATCTGGTACTTGAGAGAGAAATTTGCAAATTAACAACATCCATTAATTATACTCTGAACCAATTTAATCTTCGGTTAAACGATATGCATGATTCGGTAAACTATATGAGTAATAAGCAAGATGCTTTTGACGCTCGTTTAAAAACGATGGAAGAGGATTCTCTGCGGCGTAAAGAAGTCCCCACTTAGTTATCAATGCTGGAATCTAAAATAGACATGATGGAGCAACAGGTCAGGCAGTCTAATATAGAAATTGTCAATCTCCCAGAACGTCGTGATGAAAATTTGATAGCTGTACTTCAAAACATTGGTTCAATTATTAAGCATCCTATTAATCCTGCCGACATAGTATCAGTGCACAGAGTACCGCATATGGATAAAAAAAATCCCCACCCGAAAAATGTCATCGTGAAATTCTCCACCAAAATAATACGGGATAACGTGATTGCTGCTGCGCGGGTAGTAAAATGCGTCAAATCAGATCAACTACTGATATCAGGTACC